TTCACGTTGACGATTTTCCACCACGTCGATATGATGTTTATGAAGAGAGCTGTTGAACTGGCACATGTGGTTTCAGGGGCATCGCCACGCGTCTCAAGTGCGTTTGATACAAACGGATTAATGACATTTAACACCAACTTTACATTTTGTCTCTCCATAGGTGTTGGATTGATTGCCTTGGAATTTAGCTTGTAGCCAAGCTTGAGAAGCGATGTCTGCTCCAGTGCATACAGCTGCCGTACGGCTTCAAATGATGCTGCTTTCATTCTGGGTGGCCCGTCGAGAAATATTCCCAACAGGCTCACTTCAGGAAACTAAAAGCATATTCCTTCGTTTTTTTTATTCATCCAGTTGTTCCTGATGCATTTCAGTATGTGCACAGGGTCTACGACATAAAACAGAGGCCGATTGTTGTCGGCTGGATGAGGATATACAATGCTTACTTCCTGTTTCTCTGAGAAAAACGACATCATTTTCCGGTTGAGGGAATTGTTGTCGGTAATTACAGCAATGACCCTGAGGCCCATAGATTCCACTTCTAAAATTACTTTCTTGCAGAACTCGTGTAGAATTTCGGCGGTCATTTTAGCAACAGGAAGAATGTGAAGCACATCTTTGTTTGATGACAAGAGCGACTGAAGCATGAAAGCATGAGCGGTTGTGGCTGCCTCTTGAGAATTGGCTGCAGATCCAACTATGCTGCCCCCTTTATAATCGAAGTATGGCTTGATATGAACTTCATCAACCATTAGCGTCACCGTCTTTTCGTGCGGCTGCATTCACTTCACTCTTTCTCGAATGTAGGAGAGGAAGTTCGCTTCGTTTTGCTCCTTCAGTGGATCGCCTCCATACTTGGAACAAACGCGGCGCAGGGTTGAAGGATGGGGTAAAGTCAACGTCGACGCTGATCTGGCAAAGTTATAGGCATGCGGAGATATGGAGTGCAGGATGCTAGAAAACACTGTTTCAGCACTGTAGGGACGAATGGGGGCAGCGAGTGCGAGAGCTATTTGCTCATTTAGCAAACCAAACAAAGCACTGTGTTCTTCGGTCGTGTCACTGTCTTGGGACAGTTCATTCAATAAGGAGCCGATATGCTGCAACGCTGACGCTGTTTTCGACGGACTTGCAACTTCAGGCGTCTCAGTCATGTGGTTTTCCAGCTGCTGGAGCAGTGAGGACAACGTCCGGATGTCGCGCACTGCGTCTGGAACTACGCCTCCGCAAGGTAATGAAACCAGCTTGATTATACCTGCTGAGACTGCAAGTTAGAGATCAGCAAGCACAGTGACAGAAAACCTCACGTGCGGTGAAGGATTATCTTCGATGCGGAGAAACATCACACAACGATCGTTGGCCTTGATGGTCCAGAAATCATTACTGCATACAGCAGAAAGCTTGCCTCTTAAGTGTTCGAAAGAGGACACAGCATTTCTCTCCTCTTCGCTTTTTTTTTGCGCATATAGAGTCCTTAATCGCTTTGCTCCAGGCCTAGTCTTTCATTCGAGCTCGTTTCGAGACAGGAGATTCTCGACGATTGCGATTCGTGCTCTGGTAGGACGGACAGTTCGGAAACACCGATGGTATAGCATCTGACACTAGGCGCACACTCTCGCTGTCAACTGTCAATATCCGTCCCGACGCTGCGTCGAAATGTGACAGCTTTGTAGTGAAGTCAGCCTCGAGGAAGTGGAGTTCACAGACCTGCGCCAAGCATAACAGTGACTTCATTACTTTCATACGAAACGGGCTAATGGGAACTTTGACACGAGCCTGAGTATTTCTTTTCTATTTTACCGCACTGCCCTACCTGAAGCGCGACAAAACTATCATCACCACTCACGATACTCGCTCCGTTCAACAGTAACAGAGCCAGAACGCCAGTAATGCGATAGAGCCGGTAAGACAACAAACTTCAGCAGTTTCTCACCTTGGAGTGTATGCTTGGTGTGAAATCCTTTCGCGGAATGGCTTTTATCCAAGACTTCTTTTGAGCTTCATCCTTGGGGAATGCGAAAACACGCACTTTGGGACCACTGTCATAATTGCCGCGGCACCTGGGAACACAACAACGTCCCATGTCGCACTGATCGATGTGTAATCACATACTCATAAATACAACACCAATAAAATAGGACACGTGGGAACGGACGAAGACTCGGAGCAGTGCGATGCAACACCAAGCCTAACAGTCTAACCAGCGAAGCAGGTAGCGATGAAAGGCAAACCTGTCGTGGCTTGTCCGCCGTTCGGGGTAAAAAAGTGCGCGGGGTGACCAACACCACCACCTGAGCGACGCGTCCTCGGCCACATGGACAGTCGGTGATATGTCCGGGGAGGGGGCCTCGCTGCCACCCATGATCCGGCGAAGGACGACTCTTGCGACGCGTCTCACGAACAAGTAGAAGATGCATTTAATTTACATATTTGCAAGAGAAGTACATTGCAACGAGAGCGTACAGACGCGCCTTTCCATCACAAGGGCTCAGAGCGCACTCGAGACGAGCGGGCCAGCGAAGTCCAGAGAGAGAGCACAGCGCACTCCCCACACGCTCCTTTTATAGCCGTCCGTGCACGCGCTAGTCGCCGACTGTATGTCCCAGCGACGCTGATGTGCATTTCCTGTGGCGCACACAGACGCCTCCCGCGTTCCTGCAGGACGCGGACAGCGTTTGACCGTTATGCCGATGAGCGTCCCTTGCAAGCCACCTCCTTGCTGTGCCGGTCATAACATCGGACAACTAGCGTGACGTATGCCGTCTGGAGAGAGGGGTATGAACGGGCCTTGTGAATAGCCTAGGTGGTGTTGGTCCGAGACAGTCGTCTGCGTCCTTTCCCTCCTATACTTTCCTCCTTAATCTTTACCTCCCACTCCCCCTTCCCCCGCGGAAGCCGTGTCGGTGCCTTCGTATTGAAAGACGATAACAGCTCCGCGCTTTTCTCTTCTCTTTCCTCATTTAAGAACCTCTACCGCAAGGCTGCGGCGCGCGTACGCCGCTACGTTAAAGTGGCGCTCTCGGTGCCATCGATGTGTGCAGCATTCGCAAACTCACGCCGCTCTACCGCTACTTTCGAGAATTGCGGGAAAGCTCGTCGCCTGTCAATGGAGCGCGGGCGGTTCGGGGTGGCTGAGTTCGATATATCCATTATATGTCAAACTTTGTTCGAAATAAAAAATCAATAATGCATGAGACTTCCCACGTGATATAGGAACCGTTCGATACAGGCAATAATTTGATATATCCCTGTTTGATATATTGAGGTTTGACTGTATAAAAAGCGTGAAAAATAAATGAGCAGACAGACATACTCAGCAAGCTAAGCAAACACAAAGAAACGAGTTAACGAAAGTCTCTGAAGAACGTAGCGTCTTAACAGAGTGTGTCTCAAGCAGACACACGCTCACCCTATGGGAAGTCGTGCGTGTAGAGTTAAGCAAGGTGACATAGCACCAATATGAGAGCTGTAGGCTGGCTTGAAGAGGCCACTGGCGGCTAGCAGAGATTACCACGGAACGTGGAACCTTGCTGAAGGGGGGAGCTGCAGGCATAGGCTGTCAGCAGCCACATTGAGCTTGTCTAGCGCCTCCTCTATTTTGTCAGTGCCAGGGCGAACATTTGTCAGCGTGATATCTTGTCAGACCAACGACCCTCGCTGTTTTAATGTGGGACTGCAAGATTTCGGTATAATGGACAGTACAAAGCAGACAATGTGGTTCCTCTGTGTAGCCATTGGTATAAAGTTTCCTATAGATACAATAGAGGGAACTCTGCACGAGTGTCTATGTAAGCTACAACGCATGGCGCTTCAGCGAGCATGGGAATGATGGATAGTGCATGGATTAGCCTAATTTTTTTACTTTTGGCTTCGTTTGGCTTTGGGTGGCTTGGAGCTGCTTTGTCACGAAACAAAAATCGGTTCAGCAGTTGCACTTCACCACCTCAACCTTTTGTACCCAACAATTCAGATAAGGTCACGAAGTTCAAAACGGTTTGTTCTTTTATTTGCAACAAAACTTAAACTCTGCAATAAACTAAGCCACAAGTGCGTTCAAAGCCCACAAGCTCAAAAACTGGGCAAATCCATCATTCCTATGATCGCTGAATGATCTCAGTGACAAAGTCCCCTCTAGTTAATTTTAGGCAACTCTATGCCTCGCATTACTGATAGGGCCTGCCATAAAGCCAACCTGCCCACCAAAATTCTCTTATAACCTGCACCCCGAGTTCTGTTCCAAATTTTCTCTATGCTTTGGAGTATGTTATGCGCGACAAGAATACTAACCCCCGTATTCTAGAACGTCCCTTCACTCAACAATCCACCTTCACTTGAGAAAGCCGATGCGAGCGCCATCTTTAAGAACGACAAGTCACTGCATATCAGGGATAATCTGCTGCAATTCTTGAGTAGCGCAGCTTCATTTTCAGCCGAGCAGTGGCGCACTGCTCAACTCTGTCAAGTGAAGGGTGAAAGTAGAGTCGAGGAGCGTTTGTGAATACGGGGGTAAGGCTTGGTGGGCATACAGGTAGATATATCCGAGTGAGCGAGAGTTCACTGCATGCACTTGTTGGGACCAAAAGATGAGTCATGATCATTAGATCTTAATGAATGATGTGGTCTATAGATGAAATTTCGGTACAATCAAATTGCTCAACCACGAATTGTTTCGTGCGTCTGGTCAATTTTGTTGTAGTGGGATTTGACTAGTCTGAATTTGTCGAAAATTTCTTGTTACGCACACTTGTGGTGCATTCACTCATGCACATAGTGGCTAGGCAATCAAGAACCTTGAAAAAAAATAAAGTAAAATGTGTGTCACTTTAACAACCACCTTTTGGTGTTGTGCTTCTGCTCTCCTTACTTTTACTTGAAGAACTAATGTTTTGAGAAATGTGTTAGCTCTTGGTGGCTCTATACAACCACATTTCTGTCTTGTCAGATGGCATGCAGGCATCAGCTGTGGAAACTTTTCAGTTCTTTGTGTTGCGTGGCTGACGCAGGTTTGGGTTCTTCACGTGGCTGTGCCTGGTGGTGGCAACCGTGTACTGGCTGTTCAGGGCTGTCCGCGTTGTCTGTCACCTCATCCAGTTCATCGAGATACGTGCCTTCTATGTGCACGCCCTGCACATATCGGCCGTGAGTTGTCTCTCTTCTCATCCTCAACTATGTTGCTGGGGTGTTCATTACTCTTTGCTCGACATATGGTGCTTGCGCTAGCCTCGAGAACTGTGTCTTATTAGGGCCGCGCGGCTAATACAGTGCGACACTGTTTTGTGGGTGTCACCTGTCAACCGTACATGGGCTAACAGCCATGCGCTTAGGTTTCGTGTCGTCGCGAGAGTACTGTATAAGTAGTCAGGAACACGTTCGAAAAAGCTTCAGCTTATCAAAAATAACCTTCAACTGTCCTTAAACCACTTAACCAACTTGTAATGTAAAGCCCCCTGAATGAATTTTTTTTGGACCCTCTGCCTCTTTCTTTTTTCCCTCTGTCCATATGCATTATTTACTCAAAAATGGATCTAAGGACGCAGCTATGGGCAGTCCAACTGGCCCACAATGTGGCGGAGTGGTTCGGCCTATCTGTCTCAAGGTGGGAGCGGCCTGCTACGTGCTAGTCACGCCTCGACAAACCTAAATAAAGTTTTTTCATACCATACGATACTGCTATATCTCTTGCAAAACCTGTGGTATATGCCATACCTCTGTTATGTGCAGAACCTACGTCGGGCAAACGTGCGCAACAAATGGCTAACAAAGTGGACAAAGAGGCACATTTTGTTGCTCATTTGAACTCCTGCATCGACTGTGCACCGCAGTATCATGATACTCTTGATTTTTGGTAGAAGCAAAATTGAAGATGCGGAGCTTGCTTTAGAAGCATATCACGTTAGGAAAAGTGGAGCCGATTGTATCAGGGATACCTCTATTTCTTTGCATGCCACTGAATATGAATTTTCGCGTACACATTTTGGTTAGAATATCTTGTTTTTTGTTTGCAATATGACACTGCACGTGTACAGTCAGGGGTTGAAGTGTGATGCAGTATGGTATATTATCTATTGTATCTTGTTACGTATAGAATATGAAGCTGCACGTGTGCGTGCAGTATATGTGGTTTTTGGCATACAGTCGAAACCTGCAATAACGAAATTGTCGGGGAATCCGAAAAATTTCGTTTTCACGAGAATTTCGTTGCCGCGAGTATGAGACATAAAAACAGTCATACGGCCAGCAGAACGAAAATTTATTGTCAGAAGTCGGTCAACTTACTTTGCCGACCCTTGCCACGCAACAACTTCAAAGCTCTCCCTTCGCACTGGAAAAAGTGGTCTATTGCTACGTCGTCGTCATGTGCGCCGAAGAAGGAGAGAAAGGTGTCCAGCGCATCAAAGACAACCCGCGGGTTGTTTTGGATGCGCTAGCGTGTCGTTCCTGCCCGCAGTCTCGCTGTCAGCGGAGTTAGGGCTAAAGCCAACTCCGATGACGTGCTGCGCTCGTAGACCGCACGCTCGTTCATAGTAATTTTATCATCCATCCGGTGCGGCCACTCGTAGTAATCTGACCGTGCCGCCGCTTACAGCTTTTCGTTGCTTGCGACGAAGCACGTGGCCACGAGTACGCTAGCGCGTCATTCCTGCCCGCAGTCTCGCTGTCAACGGAGTGAGGGCTAAAGACGACTCCGATGACGCGCCGCGCTCTTAGTAACTTGATCTCGCATCCGCCTACTGCTCCTAACTAAAGCGTAATTATATCTTAAGTGATCATAGAGCCGCGAACACGTCACGAAGTAGCAATTTTCAAGAGCCATATCTTCGCGACGCACAAGCAGCAGACGACGAACTCCTGGAGCGAGCATTGGGGTAATGGCGAGGCGAGCTGAGGCAACATGGCGGCCACAGCCAATCAAAGGCCCCGAAACGACCTTCAAACATTTGCTTTTTGTGCACTTGTTTTTAAAGGCAGGGGCCAGCTGAGACGGTAAAGTTAAACACGGAGAAATGCTTTTTCGGTAATTTTGAGTGCGCATAACACGCATATGAGCATATTTTCGACAGTTAACCTTTGGCGGGAGGGTAAAATAGGCCCGCACCGTGGTAGAAAATTCGTTAATGCGGGATCGCTGTCCAAAAACACTTCGTTGCCGCGAGATACGTAATACATGGGCTTCTATGAACGTTCGCCGGGGATTCGGAAATATTTCGTTGCCGCGGGGATTTCGTACTCACGAGGTTTCGTTATTGCGGTTTCGACTGTACATATATGCGAGGCTGTGATAACACCAAAAAAGTTGTTAGGTTGGCACCAGTCAGGTCTCTTTCCTTCGCCTCTTTTTTTTTTCGTTTTTCCGTTTTGTTTGCGCCAAAGAAGTTCTTTTCTTATAAAGCTCAGGCAAGCACAATTAATCTGAACAACTTTTTGTTCTTGTTGCACATTGATGTGGATACCTTGTGGAATGGATCAGATTAACCTAATTGGTTAGTTGCCTGCCAAGTACCGAAATAGCAATGACCAAAAATTCTTCCTGTGTGGAGAATGAAAGACAAGTAGGTCATAGTTTCGGTAGCAAAACCGATTGTCCACGAGGAGTTGCTCAGCCAGCATTGGTGGAAGAGTGCTAGTGTGTAACTGTGCTAATGGGTGACTGTTGCTTTGCGAATCTTGTCCGGTGTTCACAAAAACGTTGCCATTGCTGCTGCAGGCAGGATGTGATGGCACGGGAAATTTTTGGAGGGTCAGTAAGTATTTGAACCGCCCCATCTTCTTCTATCTTTTGTTGTCCCCATGTCTCGCGAGATTTCACTTCTCTTACGCGTAATGAGGCTGCCTCCCTGCTTCCTTGCAGAGTGACCTCGACAACATGACTTGGCACGAGGTGCAGCGCAGAGTACTGGAAGTACAAAAGGACCAGCAGATGTGCATCCACAAGCAGGAACTGACAGAACTCGGTGGGTTCCTTCTGCGTTTGGTGTGCGTTTTCAAACTGTCGTTCCTCACTGCGATCTCGTGAAATGCACAAGTTGAGGCTCTCGAGGACCGTCATAGTCTATAGACACAGTAGCGAAGAAGGAAGTGTTGCATCACCAGCTTAAGGGGGGGCGCGGCAAGTAAAGTGCCGATTTTGGTCAAAATATGCGATTTTCTGATTTATTTTTTTCGTAATCTTCAGACCTTCAACTTCCTTGTTCTAAAATATTACAGCGAAACGTGCGCTACAAATCCCGCAAATAGTGTTTTTGCCGAGGCTAGTCGCCGAAAAGTGCGAAAAAAAAGCCCCTGAAACGGTGTTGTTCACGCCGCACAAACGCGCCAAGTTGTTGACTGTGGGCCGCCATTTTGGTAGCTTTGGAAAGAGGAGAAAGCCGGCTTCCCGATGGTCGCGGTCTCGTATTTCGCCGAGTGAAAATAAAAGCGCGAGGAGCAAGTAAAAAAACGAAAACGAAGAACGGCAATTGGCTGCGCGGGTCACGTGGTAGCAGGCGCGACCTCTTACTGGTCAAAGCTGCGCCGCGCACCTTGGCAACCTTGGAAGCGCGAGCGCATCTGCGGCCGCCGTGTCGAGAATCATCCGGCGTGCGCTTCGGTTTTTGCCAGTTTGCTGTTTTTGTGATAGTTCGGGTGCTTTTTTACCAAGCTTTGTTTACATCGGTGGTCTCTTCTGAGTGCTTGCTCATACTGCGGTGCTATGTTGTCGCAAAAAAAGTTCCGGAGCGTCCACAAGTACGCAAGCGTCGGAAAGCTTGGAACAAAGGGCAGACGACTGCGGCTGCCGTCCCAGTCGCAGTTCCGGACGGAGCATGCTCTTCAAGCGTCACGGAGCCTCTACTCAGACCCTTCGCTGATTGTTGTGAGGCCGAGAGTGTGGAAAGTGCCACATCGTCGTATGTCAGACCGCCGGATGCCGTCGACCGTGATGGACGCTCTCGCGAACCCGATTGCGGTGGCACCGCGTCGGCAGCCGTTGCAACCCCGGGCGTGCGCGCGTCGAACATTCTATCGCGAGTTTCGGCCCAGATTCCGAGCAGTGAAGAAATCGCGCAGCGGGCGCAGACAAGGCGGGATGTTTTGGATGCCGTAGCATCGAAGTCCGCTTCAAAGCGGAAGCTCGAGCTTCTGAACGAAGGCTGCGACGAAAATGACGGCGGTAAGGACTCCACATTCTTCATTGTAAATAAGAAGATGCTGAACGGTCTGCTTTCGTCAGTAAAGTGCAACAAGTGCGACGAAGGGTCGATACGCCTCGAGACTACGCACTGCCTTGGACTCGCGGCGAGGATGGGACTTTTTTGTGACAATTGTGGCATAGTGAACAGTGCGTGCTTTGAGGGCTGTGCAGTCAGTTGGCAGAAAACAATCTGCCATAAATGACATTTTTTCTGCGATGGACATTTCGCATCGAGCACTGCACCACAAGTCCTACCAGAGACTGCAAAGGAAGTACAGCCACCCTGCCACCACATCAGCTGCCACCCGCATTGAAGCTGAAAGTGCACAGAAGGTGCATGACATTTACAAGGACCTAGGAGGAGTGCCAGGCAACATTGACGTCATTTACGACGGCACGTGGATGACGAGGGGGCACAGAAGTCATATTGGCGTGGGCTGTCTAATCGAGCTGTACACAGGCTTGGTCTTGGACCACTGTGTCCTGTCCAACTACTGCCAAGGCTGTGCTGTTGGCCCCAAGCCTGGTGACGACAACTATGAGGAGTGGCTTGAGAAACACAAGCCACAGTGCCAAAAGAACACCGATGCTAATGCAGGCCAAATGGAAGTAGAAGCAGCTAGGATCATGTTTGAAAGATCGTTTACCAAGCACAAGCTTCGATACATCAATGTGCTCTGCGACGGTGACAGCCGTACGTACCTTGCCCTCACGCAAGACAAGGTGTATGGCTACATGATGATTAAGAAACAGGAGTGTGTGAACCATGTGAAAAAAAGAATGGGCACTTCCTTGCGCAACCTTCTTGATGAGCAAAAATCCAAAGGCCGAGGACTGAGCATGGGTGGCAAAGGCCGGCTGACGCAGGGCCTGATAAAGAAGTTGACGAATTATTATGGCTGGGCCATTAAGAGCCACCCCAACGATGTTCCTGGCATGGAGAGGGCCATCATGGCCACTTATTACCATGTAACATCCACAGACCAGGATCCACACCACGACCTGTGCCCAAGTGGGACTGACTCCTGGTGCCCGCACAATCAGGCATTGGCCAAGGGAGAGCCGCTGCCGCCTCACAAACATAAACTGCCCCCTCACGTGCGAGTGGCACTGCTGCCAATCTACAAGCGCCTCTCGAACAAAGAGCTCCTTGAAAGGTGTGCGCAGGGAAAAACCCAGAACGCTGTGGAGAGTATGAACAGCCTCATTTGGTCACTCCAGTCCAAGAGCCAGTTCGCGTCCCTTCGAAGTGTGGAAAGTGCAGTTGCAGATGCAGTCTGCCGTTTCAATGGTGGCTGCAAGAGTGCGCTGCAAGAGATCACTGCTCAACTGGGCTTCAATCCAGGAGACTGCTCTTTGCGGCGAGCAGCCGAAAAGGATGCCAAAAGGGTAAAGAGGGCTCAAAAGGCGCATTGTTCCACGACAAAGAAGCGCAAAACTGGGTTGCGCTCTACAGAGGCCAAGGCCACAGCATCTCAGGATTACTGCCCAGGAGGATTCTGAGTGTTTTAGGCATGTTGTGAACTTCCAAACAAGAGTGAACTTTCAAAGTCAGTTTTCTCAACTCTTGATTTTCGCCTATGTGCCTTCGCTAGAACATCTGTCATTTTCTAACAAAGACTGATAGAGTCGTTCCGTTTTTTGCACTAGGCTCAGGAGGCCTTTAGCAGTGCAATAAAGCTTTATCTCTCTTCTTACTCATCATTTAAAATTTTTAGAACACATTTTATAATTACTGCGATGTGTGCGCAAAACAACATCCATGTTTTGGAAATTTTATTTATGGTTACAAGAACTAGAAAAATCAACTAATAGCTTCCTTGCACAAGTTGATGCTTTGGGAACATAATATATGAAAAAATAATTTCATTTAGCAATAATTATCTCTTTAAGTGTGAAGAGCATTAATTAGTATAATTATGCTTGTAACTCAAAAAGTACAAGAGGTATTTGAAAACGGTTTTCATATTTGGAATCCTCACAATCATCCACATACACACACCAAATTTCATCACAAACAGTACATTAATAAAAAAATTAGTTTTACTTGCCACGTCCCCCCTTAAGGGCCATGAAATTGTGTGTTTGCCAGCCCTCCTGAATCAGCCATACTGTTTACAACATTAGGCTTTTTATTTGATTTATACCCGTGCCACAAGGGCAGAGAAAGTGGCACTTTCTTCCTGATGCCTTCCGAAGTAATGTTATTTACACGGTGCCACACTGACAAACGAAATTGCATTCACCCGAATGTCATTCGTCACCTAATGACATCACCAGAACTCATTCGACTAAAAAATGCATACTCTCACGTCAGCCAGCTGTTATGTTTTCCCAGACACCGTAGCTAAATGAACCCAGAAGCCATTTAACTGTTATGCTTATCACGAGTGTAATGCATTTGTGAAGATTAGTAATAAACATCACACAATCGCGCAGCTGAAGAAGTGCCATATAGCTAGATTATATAAGACATCCTATCCAGTTGAGAAAAACTTTTCACATTTTTACTAGTCACTCGATGAACATCTTTAGCTGGTAGACCCTGTATTTTGGATGCGACAGGCGCCATTTTCTTACGCTGTGTATCCGAGTATTGTGGGCTTGCTTGGCGTTCATTCATAGCTAGTTCAACATTTCAGTGTTGGCAACCTAGCAAGCGCATTGTAAACATCACTGATAGCATGTCATGGCACACGCGCCGAAACTGATCAGCCACTCTTAGTCCGAAAAATGTAATGTCGCGCTGTGGGTTGTCTGAATTTTCAGTCGCGAGTTCACATTAGGTTCAATGGGTAGGTGGTGGGGCTGCGATGGTGTCCAAATAAACGAGCATGCCTGAATTTTCAGCGTCCAAATAAACGGTCTGAGACTAATGCACAGTAGCGATCTGGGTTTCTAGCATGATTTGTTGAGATAAGGAGCGATTTCTAGCTGACTTTAGAATTCATTGTAAATTTCAGGTTATATGCTCTACCCTGTTGTTTAGCTTGCATGTTCTCGGAAGCTTTGACTACCAGCCAGCAGTGCTTTCTAACCCTGCTCAGAAAGTGCTGCAGGGCCCCTTTAAGTTTGTGAAAGGGGCTTAAAAAGTATTGTGATACAAAGACAGCACAGTAGACTCTCGGTAAACTGAAATATGTTGAATGGAACGGTTGCTTAATGGAATAGACGCCTTTGATGTGATTGGTTTCATCCCTGCATACGACACCCCTGTTCATCTCTCAGTATATGCAACTCCTGTTAAATGGACATTTATCAGGTCCCTGCAGGTTCGAAGACTTGTATTTGGTTTTATGTAAGGGGGGATTTCATTTCTGGGGAATATTTTTTTAAGTCGATGTGTAAAAAATGAGTATCTCCTGAAGTTAACAACTTCTCAATATTCCTATGCTTTTTCTTTTTGTCTGCTGCAGGTTTTAGTGACTTTGATATTCTCAAGCAGTGCCCCTTGCGACTAAAGGCATTTATACAACCTAATAGACTGAAGCCTCATTATAACAAAGCCTCACCTGCCATGAAAATACTTTGTTATATCCGAAAATTTATTATAAACGTAACATTTGCATCATCATCATATCTATAACAGATCTATTTTTCATTTACTTCATTATAACCTATGATTTATTATATCTGGTTTCATTATAGCAAGGTCTGAGTTTACAAATTACTTTTGTTTGTCATTTTACTGAAGATCTCGTTAGCGTCAAACTCGAAGGTTTGGTCCCACGGTTCGTAAAGGTCCTTGAAAACCCTTGAATTTGAAAAATGCATTTTCAGGTGCCTTGAAAGTCCTGGAATTTTTGGCATACTTGAAAATCCTTGAATTTCCTGAGCAGTGCACTCTCATATCGGCATCGCGACCTCCTAATTGTGGTAAATCTGTGTGTCAACCTGTCAAACTCCCCATTTCCAAAGCAGCAATGCGTCGTGGGTGCACATGATCCCATTTTGCAAAAGTTCATGTGAAAAAAAAAGTTAGTTTGTGGCGAGGGTGAAGCAGTGAATGTGATAGCAAGAAATTGGAATGTCACTTGAAGAGGGGCAAGCAACCCCATACAAGCAGCGCGCCGCTCAAGCTTGAAGGATGCACGAAAAGAAAGCGCACAGAACGAGTGCTGATGAAAAACTGTCACAGCTCGACATTGGAAGCGTGCTACTTGAACAAACCAAGAAGGGTGCTAGAAAAGAACACACATGTATCTATAGGATGAGTCTAAGTGAACCTGTGTCACAGTTGTTACTTCTTGGTTGTTGAGCAGCGTGCTGCGAGTGTCAACTTTGCACAAGCGGACACTCTTAATGGGGTGGTGCCATCAAATTTCAAGGTTATAGCAAGCACCATGTGGGTTTAAGAATACATTTTAAGTCACTTCCCAAGTGTACCTAAATGCTCATTCTCCTAATCAAGGGCCATTGCGAGCACGTCCAACACTGACGTAGCTCTATAGGAAGGGCAACGAAAGTTCTAGTGGTGTCACACTAGATCTGTATTCAGGCGAGTGACCTCCGGACTTCCGCCCCGTACATAACGGCAAAGCATTGCGGCTGCTGCAGGTAGCGACGAGTTTGTTGTGTAGGTGCTTGTGTGGCACATGCGTGCGAGAGCTTGACAATACTCGGCATGATGCAGTGCAAAGCTTTGTGATCGTGTGACTAAGTCAGCTACACTGCTACGTACCTACCCAACTCGGTCCCCACAAACAGGAACTGAAAATTATTCGTATCAAAAAGGCGACAAATTACATAGCGAGACTAAGTGAACCTTGATGTGTGCATCGTGCTTATTGTAGCTATAATTAAAGATTGCAGCTAAGAGCGCGCAAGCCACAAATTTTGTGGCACGAACCCTTTAAGGCCCGACTACACATGAGCATTGAAGCCCATCAGCGCGTAACTTTCCAACATGGCATTGTGCCATCTCCCTATGGAGAGTGTGGGAGAGGGTGTGAGAAGTTATTAAGACTATGCTCTATTTTTATTGTGATATTTATGTATTTATTGTAAGTGCAATAATATTGGTCATTTTTGATAATTTTAGAGTGAAAATTCCAACTTAGCATGCCGCTTTGATTCCTTGAAAAACTTGCAATAGGTTCGGAAAGTCCTTGAATATCCTTGAATTTTCGCTTTGGAAACCTGTATGAACCTTGGATCCCTGCCAGCGGCAAGTTGTTTGGTCGTCCACTTTACTTTGTTTGCACTTATATCACAATTATTGCAAAAAACCTAATGGTACAATTAACATCTTCTATATCTTTCTTGGCTTCATCATCTGCTAGTTTTCATTAAGGTTGTGTCAAACAGTGAAAACGAGCCGTCAAGGCTGCCTTCTTTTATTCATTCGTACCCACAATGGTGTCCAATGATGGCTTGTGGTGCTCGACTGCCGACCCAAGGGTCATGGGATCGAATCACGGCTGCATTGAGTGGGTTTTTGTGAAGGAATCTTGTGCTTAGATTCAGGCACACATTTAAGAACACCGCAGGTGGTTGAAATTTCTGCAGCCCTTCGCTGTGCCATCTCACATAATTGTATCATGGTTTTGGGACAAATAATTTGAGGTGATTTTGCCAGACAGCATAGAAAATTGACTTTTGTAGGTTATAGACAGTGCAAACACAGTGGCATCCATCGTGAAACATAGACTGGCTCAAACAACATTTCTTTCAAGTGAAGAAAAGTGCAGAAATGCGCACAAAATCGGGGTTTGTTACCTCTCTTCATTTCGCCTGTCGCACTCACCTTAACTCGCGTCAGTATGCCAATGACCCCCGCTTTCCGCCTTGCTTAAATTGGCTTTCGTGGAAAGTACATCTCTAGAAAAGAACTACTAGAACTGAGAAATCTGCTTTAGTGCTGGTTAAGGGGTCTGTGGCTGACTGGCACCCTTTCTGGATGCAGACATCTACAACCGCATTCTTCGCTACAAGAACTACATGGTGGCCCTGGTAAACAAGGATGTGCTGCCGCTTCACTATACGCTGCCGCTGCTAGGCCCCGTGGTCTATCTCACCCAGGGCCTCAAGTACAACCTTGAGCTCGTCCTCTTCTGGTTTCCGGGCGCCCCCTTTGAGAACACGTGGCACCTTCGGGAAGAGTACAAGAGGCCTGCCAACCGAGACATGCTGGCACAGCAGCTGTCCAGGCAAGTGGTGTGGCACATACATTGTACATCATGTCTTGGATTTCAGACTACGGGTGTAAAATGAACTAATGAGCTTGTTGGTATAAACTGCTTATAATGGGAGTCACGAATATCCGCACTATAAGCAATACCACACTATAACCAAAACAACCCTTTTCAAGGGCTGCACTTGCCCAAAACGTGTTAAAACACAGCCTCGTGTATCCGAGAATTGAAGCATGCGGGACGTGTTGCTTACAACCATTTAATTTTAGAATGTTAAAAAATTTTAATGTCCTAGGATCTGCGTCGCCGGCGAAATGAATGCGAAAGCAGGGGGGAAGTCTTGTTAAAGAAAGCACATTCACAAAATTTGCTGACTACATCTTGGGCCACCTCAATTATGCGCATTACACAGATACTATGTGGAAATTTCGTGAGCAAAATGGCACCGATCGCTTGATTTGACGGGCACATACCTTATTGCGCCAACGCAATTGAATTACGAACCACCATTCGAGTGCTGCGCGTGTCATTCTAGTTCTCATTAATAATATGTATCGCTTCTCTTTAGGTGCAGCCACCGCAAAGAGTTTCATTAATTCCGTACCAAACTGCAACTTAGACTGCATGCAACCACTACCAAAATGCAACCAACACTGATTAGGCCTAGCCTGCCACTTGGCATGCTGTTGTGTGGAGTTTGTCCAAAATAGGAAGATTGGGTGCTGAAAGCGTTAAAAAGGTCGCACTAAAGCACTGAACTAAGAGCAGTAAGCGTGTTATGAAGCTTGAATTCGCAGTCGGGAGATCAACGGCAACAAAAGCCTGCAAAGCTCATGTAAGACCGCTCACTGACAGCGAAGGCTCGCTTCATGAAGCCTTAAATCTTTTAAATTTATGATTGAGGTACTAAATGCGATATCTGTATCAAGCATAATTGTGTCGTCCCCTCTCGAACAGAGCGGCCAGGAGCCGTGTTTGCCTTTCAAGTGCCGCCAACAGAAGTGGGGGGGACGCTTAAGCCCCAAATAGGGGCTACTTCCACGTCTTGAAACCCCTTTTTCTTTTGTTATGGCCACTTTAAACGGGTGCCGCAAACGACCTTCAGAGCATCATTGGTCATCTTCTCTGTCTGCTCACGGAGAGAGTGAAAGCACCGGTCGTCGACGGAAGAAGAAATGCCAGGTTAGGTGCCAAGGTGTCATCTGATGCTGTTATTGATGAGAAATCATTCTTGACCTGATGCCTACCCTCAGTGTAGAGAACCGGCGCTTCCATCACCATGAAATGTTTTGCACATGGGGTGAAAAGGAATGGTCTTCCGTCGCCCAGAATGTGTGTTTTTAACACATTTATGGTGCCTGTTTTACGCGTACGACCCAGGCAGCATTTCCGACAATGACCCATCCAAGATCGAGCCTCTGTGCATAAGGAGCGTCAAGCGGCCCGTTAATGGTCTGGCGAACTTTGTGGACTCTGAGAACGTCTCTACTGAGGAAGAACAGTATTCTTGCCTCTTCGAGAAGTGGAATGTGATCTGGCAATGGCCTCACGCCGAAACCAGACCACACAATCCCAAGTGCTCGTGAATGTTTGTTAAAATGTGACCCCAATTCCCGTTAATTAAAGTTACTTTTGTTTAAATGTTCACAAGTGTTCGACCGTTAACTGGCTGGATAGCAGACGCTTTGACCAATCAAATGCGAGCTGCGAGACCGGCATAATAATAATGACTACGCTTTTATGACAGGAAAGTAAAGACCACACCACATGCGGCGTTTTTGTCGATGATTTCTGGCATTGCGTCTCTCGGCGTGGGGGATATAAACTCCTCCAGAAAGGGCGGCCAACCACATAGAAAGGGCTGGCGCCAGTGCTGGCCTAGCGTCATACGTTCTCCTAATCAAGGAGATCTTTTATCTTTGCACCTCGCAAAGGAGGGTGCACTGTCCGCCAACAAGAAATATTTCTGGTTATTGATTTTATGTCTAACTTGAAGTTCCTTAGTGTAATGAGGAAAACAAGTCGCAGTGCTGCTGAAAGGCTTTCTTTCTTTTACTTTTTTTTATAGTGCCAGCTATGGAGAAAACCAACTACAAGCTCGCAATATATGGCCTCCAAGCTTTGAAGTTGTCACACATCTTTGAGGCCACGTTTCAGCCAATACTGGGTTTGCTATTACCGTATTTACTCGCATAATTCTCGCACTTTTTTTTTGTTGGAAGATTGATGCAAAAGTTGGGGGTTGCGAGAATTACGCGCGAGCATCGGTCTTCCCCGGGAAAAAAATTCCACTAAAACGTACATGGCGAAAAAGAAAACGTAGTGGCCGCAAGTCGGGATTCTCACGCCAACAACAAACAGCAAACTTTGAGAAGTACTAATTAAAACTTACCTGAACAATAAAAGCTTAAGGCAAGATGTATTTCAGACACAAAGAGTGCAAGCAAGTAGTCGAGAATTCGTTGCTCAATAGGTAGCATTCGTCGCTCAACAGGAGTCTGCAAAAGGTAAGATAGGACTTCAGTATTGCGCTGATGGCCATTTAACTGAATCGTCCGCAGTTACTTTCTGATGAAATAAACTTTACCATCAATCCCAGTCTTAGGCACACAGAAGGCCCAACGCATCTTGCTGGCTTTCAGCTGCCGTCACCAGTAGCGAACACAAAATACATTTACTCCGAAGGACCTACCGGCGACCTTGTTGCCATTGTTTAGTGCATGATCAATCACTTTCAATTTGAAAGCAACCGTGTAGCTTCCATATCGCCCCATAACGTAAAAACATTACAGACACAACAACAAAACTCGATGCAACACGCATTTGCCACTTTGGCTTGCTTGCATTGGATTGAGTGTGGGTACAATTATAGTACGCTTTATGCTTAGGAGATTGCGCTATCATCCACAGTGGCTTGAACGAGCAGACGACATTATTGCGGCAACTTTCAGAGGTGCGAAAATTACTCGAGGAAAAAAGAAATCATATTTTTGTTGGGCGATGTTGGGGGTGCGAGAATTATGTAAGTGCGAGGATTACGCGAGTAAATACGGTATGCAGTGCACCTCTTATGGAAGTAAATAAAGTACACGCAGGCCTGCTAAGCCTACCAAAGAACTTGAGGATAGCGCCTGGAAACACTTTGAAAAAATCTCGACCATTTGCTGTCAGTTTCACCTTCAATGCCATCCAAGGCGTTTGAAATAAAGCACTTTTTGGTGGCACAACTAACGAGCATCTTGGGAGTGCAGACCTAAGCTTTGGCTATTCATGTGCACAGCATCGCTGGTGAGGTCCGTTTCAGCCGTTCAGTAGGGGCCTGCCTCCAGCTCTCTTGACCTCAACTGCTTCATAAATATGCGCTTGATGGGGTCCTCACATTATTTATTTAGGCACACATCCAAGCGGCTGCAGCCTGGATGTCCTGCAGGGTTAACAATGAGCTCGGCGTGGGAGTTGCGCAACAGTTGCTTCACGGAGGTTACACAGAAACGTGCCGATCATGAGTATCGATGGGAGTCCTGACAGTGCTCTATTGCTCCTAAACAAAGTGTGTCAATTCCTGTTCAACACCGAAAAACGCTTCATTTTTGCGGGCCTTGAGAAGTTCGTCTTGCGCCCCTACACACAAGGACGGCTTCCTTTGATTTTTCCCAGCTGCTACTGCTTCGCCAAACTGCTGCCAGGCAGCACAGGTCCTGTTGTTTTTTGGCAGCTGACATCATCTTTCTTTAACATATGTACTCCTGTGATACAGTCGTCACGTCGGGTTTACATCAATTGTACTTGGGTGCCATTCACTGAGGTTAATTTATGTAGCAGTGTCCTATGCAACAATAAAGAACTGTCTGTATAAAATATACGTGGCTGTTTAAGGGGAGACGCTCCTCGAAAAAGTTTTTTTTTATTTCTAGTAATAGAGACTTGAAAAGTTTGTTATTAGTATAGTTTTTCATGCAGATTTCAAATATGCAATCATTTTTTGTGTAGCTGCTATAATTATTGAGTTATGCCATAAACAATAGCAAAAAGTTACATTTTTTGCGGGCACTCTTTTATGTACTAAACTTTCAGTAAAAGCACTGTGTCTGATCTTATTTGACTCTTGGTAGATTGAAAAGTGCAAATATCTATATAGATATGTCGCAGAAATATTGGAACAAAGAAAAAAAAATTGTATTGGATGACTTATTATTTTCAATCTCCCTTGAAACAATAAGCTAATATTTTCACAACTAATGCTGGTAGGCATTGCAATTTAGAGTAGATATTTGCATTCTGCATGTGTTGAAGGATATGTGTGCCAAGTTTCGTTACTATACAATGAATATAAGTTTCTAAAAGGCTGCCCGGAAAACGTGAAACTGTCAGAAAAAATGAAAATGAGAAAAACAAGTTTGAAAGTTCGCAAAGTTGGCATTTATTAGGAAATCATTCTTTTTGCATCAAATTGGGGCACAATGAAAAGTACCTTGCCTTGAATGCACTGCAAGTGTCTAGAAGTCCCCTGCACCATAGCTTGGTCCTTCACGGCTCTTGCGGTCAGTGTCCTCAACACGAGCTCTCTTCGCTGTGTTGCGACGGTGTGCCCTCGCTTCTGCAGTTTGCTTCAGGTTCATCTTCCTGATGCGCATAACGTCACAGTGGTCACCATGTGTGGCCAGATCTTGTGAGGGGAGAATTCCAATGCTTTCGAGCACTTCTTCAAAGCCCCTGTGGCCTTTGTTGTACCAGAGTACAGCAAGAGCGGTGGCTGTCTCCACAGTTGTTCTGGAGGCGAACTTTGTTTTTGGACATAGCAGCCATATCTTGCTGTTCAGCGATTCGGCTGCATTCTGTGTCTTGCCATGAAGGCACCGAATAAGGAGTTTCTCCTCTGTAAGGCGCTTGTAGATAGGCATAATTGCCAATCCTTGAGCCTTCGTCAACAGTGGGGTGTGGCGTGGTGCAGGCTCCCCCAGTGCTTCCGCACGCTTGTGCTTGCACCACGAATTTGGTCCCGCGGGTCAAAAGTTGTGGCTACTGGCACCATCACTGGAGCAGCAATGAAAATACGATGCCCATATGGCAGTGTACATATTTCGGACACTGTCCTTGTTGCTCGTGATGGCGATCTTGTAATATGTTTGTAGTTTTATTATTGTCGCATCTTTCAGTTTTTCGCCTCGTGGCAGTGGCGTTGCCAATTTCCGTAGGGCAGTTCCCAAGCGCTTTGCAACGTGGTTCGTGCACTCTTCTTTGTCAATGGGGGCGTCACAGTATACATTTGCCTCGCAGACTGCAGTGTAGGCCTTGCTGTCACCATCACTTAGGAAGCTGGTGAATCGCAGTGGATCCATCATGAACTTTCTTACAGCGCAACACCAGAAAAAAATACAAGACAGGGAAGGAGTAGAACAGAAAGAAAAGACGGCGCTGACGGCAATCATAGCTGCCAGGCAAGCCGGGTCATGAAGGTTCGAGTTAACACATAGAAAAGAGCCCTGGGTACTAGAAATATATTGTAGTAAGGCGGTAAGTTGGGCCAGTTGGTTAGGATCCATCGTGAACTTTCTTACAGCGCAACACCAGAAAAAAATACAGGACAGGGAAGGAGTAGAACAGAAAGAAAAGACGGCGCTGACGGCAATCATAGCTGCCAGGCAAGCCGGGTCATGAAGGTTCAAGTTAACACATAGAAAAGAGCCCTGGGTACTAGAAATATATTGTAGTAAGGCGGTAAGTTGGGCCAGTTGGTTAGGATCCATCGTGAACTTTCTTACAGCGCAACACCAGAAAAAAATACAGGACAGGGAAGGAGTAGAACAGAAAGAAAAGACGGCGCTGACGGCATATTCAGTGTGCCGCGATATTCAAAACGCGTGACGTACGCGTTGTTTTTCTCGTTTTTTGTTTATTCTGCGTGAAGGCACGAGACTGGCTACTAGTGGATTATGAAGGATACGGCCTTCGCAGCATGCGTGCACGATTGCAAATGGCGGCCAACGCGTCGTTTTCGCGACAGGACGACGCGAATTTCGCCGTTTTTCGCGACTTTACGCGCATTTCTCGCGTCACCGCTGCCCACTTGGAAGCATTTTTTGATAATTTCTCGTGCGAATTTCAGCTTATAGTAATAGATTATAGATTATAGTAATAGATTATAGATTATAGAGAAGTAATAGATTATAGTCCAAGGATGCCAATACAGCCGGAAAAAAAAAGCGAAAACTTTCCGGAAAACTGCGACTTTTCGACCCGCGTCTCCCCTTAATTGTGTCTGTGCATGCAATGGTACATATATTAAAGGCAAGCTGTAATTATGCGGGGAAAACTTTCCACGAAAACGTACAGAGCGAAAAAGAAAACAAAGTGGCCGCAAACTGGGATTCTCACACCAGCAACTAACAGCAAGCTTTGAAAAGTACTAATTAAAACTTACCTCAACTATAAAACCACAAGTTCAACACAAGGCAAAATTTATTTGAGACACAAAAAGTGCGAGCAAATAGTCGGGAATTGGAATACCATACACAAAGCTTGTGGGCGTTGCGGGCGTAGCGGTAGCGTTCCTCGCTCAACGGAAGTACTCAAAAGGTAAGCGTAGGGCATCGGTATTTGGCTGATGGCTATTTAACAGAATCGTCCGCAGTTTCCTTTTGAAGAAATAAAGTTTACCATCAGTCCCAGTTTGGTACGCACATGGCAGGCCCAGCTCGTCTTGGTGGCTTTCAGCTGCCGTCACCAGTAGCGAACACAAAACTTGTAGACTCCGAAGGGCCTTCCGGCGGCTCTGTTGCCATTGTTTAGTGCATGATCTAGCACTTTCAACTTGAAAGCAGCCGTGTAGCATCAGTATCGCCCCATAACGTGACAAGATTACCGACACAAGGTATAAACCACGCCACAACGCGCACTTGCCCTTTGGCTTGGCTTGGATTGGATTGAATCTTTGTGCAATAATAGTACGCTTGACGCTTAAGAGATGGCGCTAGACGGCGCATGCTAGCATCATTAGTGGTTTTAACGAACAGACGACGTTATTGCGGCAGTTTTCGGGGGTGTGATAATTACTCGAGGAAAAAAAAAATCGTATATTTGTTGGGCGATGTGGGGGGTGCGAGAATTATGCGAGTGCGAGGATTACGCGAGTAAATATGTACGGTACTAAATTTGGTTTGGCCTAGTTTTGCGGCACATTTGGCATCACTCTGGGCCAACTCCTGCGAGCAGCAATGAAAACTAAGAGGGCCCCCAGTTAGAATTAACCTTTGTGGATACCGAGTGTTCCCCCGCAGAAATACACAGTGCTGGCCAGAATCGGTGTATCAGTTCGATCAGAACGAGCTTTTGCTGTAATTGCCAGACTCTTAGCTTTTCAGCCAATCACCAGTACATAAAAGAACAGAGCCAACTTTTCTTCATGCCTGCTCACTTGTTTTTTTTTTTCCTAGGGCCTATATTACGTTGTAGTTAAGTAGAAGATGCAGTAAAAGCTCGTTAATTCGAAATTCCCTGGACTGGGAAAACTGTCATTCACGAAATTGTACATTAGTAAGCACTGGTCAAGACCCCCTTTATTTAATACAAAATGCGCTTTAAACTCGTATCATAATTATTGCGTACCAACAACGTCATTCTGTATGGTGACCACTTTTTTTCTGGGAGCTGGTGCCTAATTCGGCTGTCTACGAAGGCCATTTTTGTTCGTTTGTGTCACGCACTTATGGCGCTTCACGCTCGGTGCACTTCAAATGTCGCTCGAATTAATCGGGTTGCAGCAAAATCTGACTGAACTAACGGGAGTTTGATGCCATTATACAATGCATGTTCTGGTCCGCACTTGAGAACGTCTAAATGATATGATTTTTCGGATTAACGGGTGTTGAATAAACGAGCTTTTACTGCATTTCCTTTTTCCTGCGAGTTCCACCTACTGAAAATCTACTGTATGATTAACGGTGATTGGCTTGGAGTGATACATTTCTTCTAAGTGGTGGTTTTCGTGGTGTTTCAGGCGCATTCTGTGGGTGGGCCTGGTGAACCTGGTGCTGCTTCCACTGGTGCTTGCCTGGCAGGTGATGTACTTCTTCTACAGCTACACCGATCTCATCAAGCGAGAGCCAGGGGTGCTGGGCCTGCGCACCTGGTCTCCCTATGGGCGCCTCTTCCTGCGGCACTTCAACGAGCTCGACCACGAACTTAACACCAGGTGCATTTCATTACTTGCTTACACAAGTGAGCTTGTTCCGGCATTCAGCGTTCATGTTTGATTCATCACAGGTGGTTTTGGCTGTTAAAGAAAGCTGTCGGAAAAAGTTGACATGTGAGAGCTGATGTATGACACTTGTGCCTAGCTTTATGCTCTGCTCGCATAATTCTCACACCCCCCCAACGTTTCATTGATTTTTCACAAAAATAGTGCGAAAATTGTGCGAGTAAGTATGGTACCGTAATTACTCGAATCTAACGTGCACTTTTTTTCCGGTTAAGCGAGTTCATAAATCGCATGCGCGTTAGACTCGAGTACGAAAAAAAAAATGAATACGGTCAATCTATTGCCATCGGCGTTTCCACAATGGTTGCCCCATACGTGCGTCAGCATGGCGCTTCGGCCATTTCTGCCTATGTGTTTCCCATCTGCGGCACTTCGTACGTGTGCTGAGGAGTTCGTCATCTTGTAGTGCATTAGCATTGATGGCGTGGAAGGGCCGACTTCAAAAACTCGAGTGCACCACGATGCAACTTTTAAAAGAAAAGTCATCGCGTGTGCAGAAACAAACGGAAATCGGGCCGCATCGGACGTTCGGAGTTTCCGAAACGTGCGTGCGGGACCAGTGGAAACAAAAGCAGAAAATTGTCGACAGCAAAGCTTCACGCAAAGGCTTCAGTGGACCACAGCAGGGTCCGTTTCCGCAAATTAAAGAGCTGCTCGGCGAGTATGTGCTTGAGCAGCGAGTGGCAGAGCGGCCCGTGACGACAGAACTGCTCCAAGTGCGGGCTATACAATTAGCCTTAGGAAAGGGTCTAACGCAGAGCCAGTTAAAGCGGGCAGGTGCTGGCTAACTAACTTTATGAAGAGAAAAGGCTTTTCCCTTCGAAGGGGAACGGGCATATGCGAAAAGTTTTGCGGAGGAGTACGATGAAAAGCTTCACAGTTTTCAGAGGTTCGTCCTAAACTTGCGGCACAACGGCTACCTGCTTGGGCAAATCGGGAATGCCGATCAGACGCCTCTTTACTTCGACATGCCTGGCACCAAAGGGGTGAAGCAAGCAAGGAAAGGGGTGAAGCAAGTTCCCGTGCTGACATCGGTCCACGGTAAAACTACACTGACGGCAATGCTCTGTTACACGTCAGATGGGCAAAAGCTTCGCCCGTACCTCATATTTAAATGGAAGACGCTCCCAAAAGGAGTTGTTTTTTCAAGTGGTGTGATCATGCGGGCCATCGAGAAAAATGGGTGCGCGTTGCAATCGACGTCTTACGTTTTTTTTTTTTTTTTTTCGTCGTGGAAATCGGGTGCGCGTTACAATCGAATGCGCGCTAGAATCGAGTAAATACGGTAATCTATTTCGTATTTTTATCGCAACCATTTCTGAAGGGTGCATTGTTTAAGTAGGATGCTATGAAAGATGTTTCTTTTATCGGGACTCAGTTTCACTGGGAGCATGGGAGAAACTGAGTGTGCCAAAATATTGCCTTTGTAACAGATAGTTATACAGTATAGACTGCTTTTAACATAAGCCATGAGAGTCGCGAATATCTGCTCTTATAAGCGATACCACACTATAACCAAAACATTTTTCAAGGGTCACACTTCCATCTTGAATATGCAGCCTCGAGAGTCCAAGAATTGAAGCATGTGATGCACAGTGCTTGCAACAGTTTAAATTTCTGAATGTTAAAGAAAATTTAACTTCCAAAAAAAAAAAACTTTCCAGGTTCCAACGAACTTGGAAAGGGGAAGGGGGTCTAACAAAAGAAAGCACCATTGCATAAATTCGCCGACTGCTTCTCACTCTTCCTCAATTATGGGCATTATACAGAAACTATGTCAAATCACTGAAGTAAAGTGTGGGATTGGGCTAGTTGGCAATCCATTATTAAACTTCTCTGCGCAAAAACTTTCGACAACGAACGCAAGAGACGAGGACATCTCTTGTGTTTGTTGAGTTTTTCGCGCTGAGAAGTTTAATAATGGTCAAATCATGTCACCCCATTTCAAGACGTTACAATCCAGTCGCCAAGTGCTTCTTTCCATTAACAATATGTATGCTTTCCCATCAAGTGCAGCGACCTCAAAGAGTTTCGTTGATTCCGTACCAATCCGCAACTTGGGGCGCAACCGCTACCGAAACGCAACAAACACTGATTATGCCTATCCTGTCATTCGTTTGTCGCAGAAAGTTTGTCCAAGACATGAAGATAGGGTGTTGAAAGAATCGCACTCGAGCACTAAATCAAGAACATGCGCGATACGAAGTTCGCTTTTGCGGCTGAGAAGTGAAAGACGAAAATCTGGGAAGCTTACGTAAGCATTGGCAGAAAAGGCGAAAGCTCGTGTCATGAAGCCGTAAAAACTTTTATATTCATGGACGAAGTAGCAATCCCAATACAGTTAAACATAGATATAACGAAATTGATAACTTACCGAAAGAATTCGTTATAAAGAAGATTTCGTTAGAAAGAGAACACGGATATATTGAACTCGAAGGGGATCGTGAATGTTTGATATACTCCAGACTCTGAGTAAAGAAATCTGTTAAAGGGGGACACGAGTCTTAGAAGGCCACAAAACGCGAAAAAAATCAACTTTTTGAAGCTTGACATTTTCGGAAGGTACCTATTTATGCACTTATCTGAGAAGTTTCTAGCTTCTCAAGTTATTAATCCTGGTGCAAAATCAATTTATAACACCGCTGTGAGATGAATGTGAGTGCAAATAGACGCTAAAATTGCGCTTTCTTTCGTGCCGCGTCGCTGCCGGTACACATGAGCTATCGTGGTCATCTTGGTCTCGTTTGAAAAGGTCGTTCTTCGTCGTCAATTTTCCGCCACCGCTGGTTTGCCTTTCTCATTGGTTTTTCAGAAAAACGCGTCATCAAAAAGCACCACCGCGTGAATCTATTGGCTGCTTGCGGCACCTGACAAAACCTAGGCATCTGATTGGCCAAGTGGCATTTTCAGCATCTGCTTCACCATCGTGACGTGCACGAACATGTGCCGTTTTTTCATGGTGCTGTCGACTGCCTGTTGCAGTCAAGAACTTCTGCGCCACACTAATTCGTGAAGCGGCTGTGGCAATCGTTCGTTCGCCGTGCACTTAAGGGGGGACATGGTTCTTGGGGCTCTCTCATTTATTTTTGAACCAAGTGTGACAGAAGTTGGCATGCTTACTTAGTTTGTTCTCCTGATTCTAAAAATGTAATTATTTTTTGTGTAGCTTTATTAGTTAAATAATCAAGATAACCATTTCTATTGTTTTTACCATAATAGAAAAATATCCACCTGTCAAAAATTTATAAATAACATAGGGATTGACAGTAGAAAGCATGAGACATGCAACATAAGAAGCACTTTTTTGAATGGGTCATTATTTCTTACTTTATAGTACACTAAACTTCACAGCCCTGAATGTGGCAATTGTGTGGTCACACAAAAGAATAGTTTGAAAAACTTGCATCAAGAGAAATCAATATCTGCTTCCTATGTTGTGTGCTCCAAACATATAGCTTCATGCTGCAAAATAAAATATTCTGCTATCTGGAATAGTTTCAGATATATTGCAGTAATTTTCATGCAGGGTGTACAAAATTGCCATTTTGAGAAAATGAAGAAAACAAAGAATTCTAACATATTTAACTGTCAAAATGTATGCACTTATAATTGCATAGACATTGAAATATAAATGAATGCTAGAAAGCCTAAGGACTGCAATGCTGCAATCTGATCGAAAATTGAACGAGTACTTCTCGAATTACAGCACGGTAAAGTTCATTGCATGTAATCAAGTACAGAAATTTTTATATTAAAATAAGAAAAATGAAGCTGCCCATTAAAAATAGGCACCCAGCATTGTTTTTTGTGCACATTTAGCTACATTGTGCAAAAACAATTACAGCTCCAGCTGTCCTAGGTCCACTTTTACCAAACAAGCAAAAGAAAGTGTTCAAAATCTGTGCTTCGAGAATAATGCTGTTAAAACTTAATTTCTCCATTCCAAGGAAAAAATATCATGGCAAACATACTTTTAGTCAGTTAATATGCACCGGGAATGTAATAGGACTGATTGTTTATACGAGCGTGTCGTTTCATTTAGTCCTGTAGCAAGTTGTCGCCGTGTGCTCGTCTGCCGCGAGGCCGCTTATCAGTTCGGTGACTGTACTGACGGCGATCTGCGACAAATGTGCGTGCGTCATCCACGATCCGTCGAATAACGCGGCAATGTTTTCCGGCTTGTCCAGAATAAGTTACCCGTAAGTGTCGCTAACTAAAGTTGCTCCCTCGCTCATCAATTTCGTGGCTACACAAGCACTGAGGTGTTAGTTTCCTTTTCACGTAAGACTGCCGCATTTTCGAGCGGATATCGCGACAACGTTGCGAACACGTCGTTAAAAGCAGTCTACCTGTTGCCAGTAGCCTCCGTTGCGAGAGCCGCGAGCATGTTCACTGCGAACGAATTGACTTTCTGTTGTTGGTCCACTCTCACGACCCGTCGCGCAGTTCAAGGTCCTTTCATCAGGCGGGGGGGAACCACAACATCGGCAGGTTTAGCGATAAGACTGCACTTCCGTTCCTTCACTACGAAGATTTGTATCTCTGGTAGCTTCACTTCTGCTTTTTACTTGCCATCCTCTAACTGATGAGGCTGCAAAACACAGCTGTTCTCTTACGGGAGTACCGTATTTTTGCGCGTATAACCCACTCCTGCACATAATTTGCACCCCCACTTTCAGCTCACCGAGAAAGAAAAAAAAAATCCTCGCGTATTGCCCGCACATTTGATATACAGGAAAGGCTGTACAAAAGCTACTGCTCAAGCAACATAGCACATGTGTAGACAGAAAAAGCTTTATTTAGCAAGCACAATACGCTGTCTGCAAGGCCAGTCACAATTCACTCACTGTCGCTGCTCTCGCTAGAGCTATCACTTGAGCCGCAGTCCTCACTAGTATTATGCACAAGGTCATCTTCGGTTCCATTCATATTGT